TCTGACCGTCTGTTTCTTTATCTGAAACAAAATAGAAGTGAGTTTCAGAAACCATTGCAGCTAGTTTTTCATCTGTTTTGTCAATTTTTTCGAACACGCAAGCGAACAGTAAACAGCAGCTGAAGAATGCATGAGGTACGATTTTTCTTTGGCCAGAAAGTGCTTACACCGGCCCTTGGTTTGCACAGCCATTGGCTATCCTCTTCCTTACAACGTCGCAACAAATGCTCGGGATGCCACTCCCCGATGTACCTTGTGGGAATTATTTTAAATTACCCATATTAATCCATTTTGTTAGAAGTTTCAACTGTTCAAAAGAAGGAAATATGAACCATTAAACTATGAATTTTTTTGTAGTCCATAACCTGCAAATCCAAGTCTAGTTTGAACAGCTGCCGAGGCGTTTTCCATATAGCATTGAAAAATCAGAAAATTTTACAAACACCACAACCGTTGTGATGTGAAGTATGTATGGCCGTCTGAGAGGTCACTGGTCTGCTCGCTCTGTTCTTTCAAATGGCATTTATTATTGTCGTTATACGCGGCATCTGGCAAGGCTAGCAACGATTGGTTATCGTAGAAATGTCATGCATCGTCAGACAAGGGTTGCATCGGCAACTGAGCAGCAACACTCAAGGCCATTGGTAAGGGTAAAGGTTGACCCATATTTTTCCTTTGCTTTTCTCTGTTAGTTCTTAACTGCTAATTCAGAGGGACGACAAAATATGTTGCGCAACCAGGTGGTTTGACTTATGACCAAATGTAGCCCATTAGCTAACTCGCGTGTTCTCGCAAACTAACAAGATGTTACGCTAAATTCGCCAGAATTAGTTTCATTTGGTTCAGTGTTGTTCACTGGAAAACTCTTCTCTTGCGCCACATCACAGTCCCTGTAAGATGGACACGTTTTTGGATATGCTGGTAAGAGGAATAAATAAACTATGAGGCTAGGAAGGAGGAAACTACACGTTGTAATGTTAACCGTCACCTAACTGTAGATTTGCCTTAATCATATCTGGTCTTCTGGTTGATGGGATAAGAACAGAAATTAATAACCGACCAAAATTTTGAAATCGAAGCTTGCTACCGATACAACCATTTCTGAAGCAAGAGGAAGACGACATCAAAGGGGTACAAACTCGCTTTAAATGCTAACAGGGTCGCGTCATATTCTTGCATGATAAAGTTTATTGCTGCAGTTCCTTAGTGATCGGCAATGTTTTCTCTCACAGCATTATGTAACATTACAGACAGCCTTATTTTTAAAATATGCATGCTATTTGAACTCGCTTCACTCGTCACAAACTCATCGCTATATTTTTGCAACCTAGGACTAATAATTAAAACATT